CGGCAACTCTTATAAGGAAAATGTTTAATTGGGTGGCTTGCTTGCCGTTTCAGAGGTTCAGTCCCTTATCATCATGATGGGGAACATGGTGATGCAGGCAGACATGGTGCTGGAGAAGTAGCTTGGAGTCCTACATCTTGGAGGGAGGCAATTCTGTGACACTGAGTGAAGTTGAAGCAAAAGAGACCTCAAAGCCTCACCCACAGTGACACACTTCCTTCAACCAGGCCATACCTCCCAATAGTGTCACTCCCTGGAAGCTCATGGGGGCCAATTACATTCAAACTACCACATGAGGTGTTGCTATGATAGGCCTGGCCATGCTGCTTGTTGGCAGAATGTAGACATTGAATTAGGAAAGCAGTTGAACACTTTACATGGGGCTTAATGTGCCATAACAGTTGGAGCAAGGAAGACAATGCTGAGGGTAATTTGAACTGTGGGATCCCAGCTCAAGAAGTTTCAGAGGTAAACAGTAGCCTAGAGACCATTCTGATGATATTTTAGCAGAGAAAGTGGTGTGTTTTGCCCTTGTCCTAAAAGTCTGCCTAAAGCTTAACTGAAAACTTTTGGGTTAATGGCACTGGTAGAGATTTCAAGACAGCCTAGTATTGACTGCCATGTGACTACTAGTGGTCATTCTTATGCAGATCTGCAATGAAAATGAACAAGTTGAGCAAGGAAAAATACAAAGAATATAGTCTGAAGAGAAAGGACTTACAAACACCAAACAATTACAAACACCAGGAAGTGTAATGGCACTAAGTCCAGTGTTCAAGGAGATAAAAGGTGTACAGAAAAACCTGACACTAAATGGAATAAAGGAAATGGTGATCTCAGACATAACCCCACCCAGTTATGTCTTCAATTTGTGAAAAGAAATTAAGGAAAAGTATAAACAGTGAAAGAAGCTATCAAAAACAGAAAACTGATGTAAATGTATTTGAAAGAGGGGACCAAGTTCCAGCCCCAGGAAGCAGAACTTGGCAGTGCTGGCCTTGTGGTTCTGGCTTTATAGTCAAAGACACAAGAAAGGGGTTGTGGAATCTGCCTTCTTGGCTAAGAAAAGCTGCTGAGGCCAGGAGCGTATCAGGGATGCCCCTGCATGGAGGCCCATTTGTGACGGTAAAATCTGGACTGTGTTGGAGACCCCAAAATATTGGAGATGCCAGAGGGTACCAGGTGTGGAACCAGCCCATCAGAAAAAAAGTTATGCAGTCAACAAAGCTCAAAAGGAATTGGAAATCTGAAGACTTCTTTGACATTGAACATGGAAATGCAGAATGTAGTTTTCTCTGCAGGTCTTGGTCTTGCTTTGGTCCAGTATTTCCCCACTATGTTCTCTTTCTTCTCTTCTGAAATGGTAAAGTATATTCTGTGCCACTGTGTGTTGGAAATATGTCATCTGCTTTTTTATTTTGATTTTACTGAGGGTTACAGTTAAGAGATTGCCATGAGTCTCAGAAGAGACTCTGAACTTAGACTTTTAAACAGTGTTGAGACTATAAAATATTGTGGGGACATTAGAAGTTGAAATCAATGCTTTTTACATTATGACATGGCTATAAGTCTATAGGGGCAAGGGAATAGAATGTCATGGTTTGGATAAGAATGGCCTCCACAGGCTCATATATTTGAATGCTGAGTCATTGGGAATGGCACTACTTGGAAAGGATTAGTGTCGCCTTATTGGAGTGTCACTGAGGGTGGGCTTCGAGGTTTCAAAAGCCCAAGCCAGGGTACTGCAGTGACTTTTTCTTTTTGTTACCTGTAAATTCAGATGTAGAACTCTCAGATACGTATACAGCACAATGTTTGCCAGTGTGTGGCCATGACAACAATGGACTAAACCTCTGAAACAGTGAGCCAGTCTCAATTATATGCTTTCTTTTATGATTTAGTGATTTTATGATTATAGTGTCTCTTCACAGCAACAGAACAGTGATAAAGATAATAACTATCTTCAGGTTTCTTTTTTATTTCTTTTTTGAGGCACGGTCTTACCTTGACTGGTCTGGGGCTTGCTATACAACAAGGCTAACTCACAAAGATCCACTTGCCTTTACCCACTGAGTTCTGGAATGAAAGGCATGCATCAGCAGACCCAGCCCCTGCAGTATTTTTAGTAGCTACACAGCATTTCATTATATGGAAATCATCAGGGTTTTTTTTTTTTTGGGTCAACCCTTCCAATTTTGTCATAGTAGAAACAATATTGCAGTATCTTTTATGTGAATTTTTTGTTCATTTTTTTCCCTAGGAAAATATATTCAGTGATTACTAAATGATACACATATTGAGGGGGGGGGGGAAGGTACTGGATTCAAATTATGTAGCTAGAAGTTTCTCTGCGTCTCGCCCAATCCCATGGGACTGATTTCTCTCCTGCCTGCCAATCCCTGCAGTAGTTTATGAAATAATCATTTGGAGGTTTAATATTAATTATAATTGTTTGGCAGATGGCTCAGGCCCAAAGTAGCTTCTTTATTAACCAACAGTAATAAAACATACTTACAACATACAGAGAAGTATATCACATCCAAATTACCATGTAGAATGGTCATAGGAATTTATTATTCTAAAGATAAAACAGTAGATATTTACTTTCAAGTTGATCTTGCTCATTTGTAACATCACATTGTTAACAGATTAAAATGTTGACTGGAGCCAGGTGTGGTTGATTATACCATTATTTCCAGCATTCTCTATGAGTTTGAGGCCATCTTGGTCTACATATAAAGTTCCAGGCCACCCAGAGCTATATACTGAGATTCTTTCTCAAAAGAAAAAAAGTTGACTGGGATGAGAGGAAAGATCTGATTGGTTAGAATGAGGGTTAGGATTATTACCTGTGTAATACATCTCTGGCTGTCAATGAGTTCCTTCTCATTGTTATGACTTCTCTCTCAACCATCTTATATAAAGGTTTCTTGCCTTCTCTGCCTCATACATAATCTGACCAACTGGACATAAGCAAAGAGGTGCCAGGAACTTCTAGAAAAGCTTTTAGTCTCCCAACATAAAACCCAGACATAATAGAACTGCCTCTTGTCTACCTGTGGTGTAAGTGTACTCCTGGAGCTGTGGCCACTACTGCAGCCATGGGGAGACAACTTACAGACCATATGAAATGAGCAAATTATATGCCTACTTCAAACTTTTCTTACCTTGTTTAAAACATTTTTCAGTGTGTGTGTGTGTGTGTGTGTGTGTGAGAGAGAGAGAGAGAGAGAGAGAGACAGACAGACAGACAGACAGACAGACAGACAGACAGACAGACGGATGAGATGTGAGCATATGAAAGTCAGGACAACTTCTGGAAGCTGGTTCTCTCCTCCACTGTGACATCTGCGAACTGAGGCATGACCATCAGGCTTTTCCCTCCTGACCCATCTTGTCAGCCTTTATTTCCAACAGATAAAACTGAATACCAGAGATAAACAATCATTTCTGAGTTATCAAAAATGATCATGTAGGAATAAATACTCACTAGAAGGATGAAAGGAAGGGTTGGTGAGATGGTTAGGCTAGGAAAGGTGCTTTGCTGCCAAGCCTGACGACGCAAGTTAATCACTGGGACCCCATAATAAGGAGATAAGAGAACTGACTCCAAGTTGTCTCCTGACTGCCATACACACAATACAGCACACACACACAAATGTCATTTTAAAAGGGAGAGTATAAAAAAACTAAGATACATGAAAATGAGGATATTCATCAATATCAAGCAAGAATTTATGGAAAGTCAAAGACTGTATCAAATGCATGTTTGGGGAAGGGTCAGGAAAATTAATAAAATGGACATGGTAAGTAGCAGAGGACTGACTGTTATCTGAAGATAGTTTGGTGTTTGTCTCATGGGCATTCAGGGATACTTCATTTGTTCTCTCTTCCTGCGGTCAACTGCAGCTGTAAGACCAAAGCCTACCTCATGGACAATGGGTAGAGCAGATGATCCCACATCTAGGCCTGACCCATAAAAAAAAACCTAATGAAGACTTTGCTTTTTCCCCATCTGGTGGCCAAAAGACTTTTAGCAGAATCATGAAATGGAAGGGGCCCCGAGTTCCTCAATTACTATATAAGCAAAGATATTTCCTTTACTTAGGACTTTGGAATGGGTTCTACCTCAGACTGTAGGGCATGACAACTCTCAGACTTGTCTAGTAGAGCTGGGAGTAGACATGGAGAGAGCACCCATGGGATATGTGCTGTGATTGCTACAAGGTTTCCCAGCCAAACCTAAATAATTATACTACTTGATTTTATGACACAGTTGACAAAATTGTCACCATTTAATATAACTTTTCTTTTCTCGTGTTATTCTTTTGTTCCTTTCTAAATTCACTGGTTTGGGATTTTTGGTTTTGTTTTGTTTTTCAGACTTGATGTTCTAACTTCTGACATGGTTTTTTAAAATTACATTTACTTACTGGCTATCTCACTGTGTGTGTACGGAGGTCAGAGGAGGACATGAGGGAGTCAGTTCCCTCCTTTCATTGTGTGGGTTTCAGAAATGAAGTCAGGTCATAAGGTTTGATGACAAGCACCTTTCCCAGATGAGCCAATTCTCAGGTTTATCATGATTTTAAATTATATATAAACTATTTCTACAGAATTGGTCAAGAAGAAAAGTCTTTACTAAAATTCATAATCAATTTAAATATTTATAAATATGCTAAAAATAACTCATTACTAAACACTTTTGATAATTAGAGATATAAACTAAACCAAGTTTTCTTTATGATCAATAAAACTTTAGTAGTTCAATCTGTATGTTAGCAAAAATGGTAATCTAAAGTTCAAAACCTTCTGGGATTAACTCAGCATTAAGAGTGCTTGTCTAGCACCCACTAGGCCATGGGTACAACCCCTACTACAGAAAAAGGAAAAATCATTCTAATAAAGTTTAAGTCAACTGCTCATTCTTTCCTCAGCTTGACTGTCCTATCTATAATATATCTATTAACAGGGATACAAAGACACATAAAACCAACTGCTAAAGTATATATTACATGTTTATTAGGGATACAACTTTTATGTAAAATTTACATTTTATGAAAAAAAATCGAAAATATTTACAAAATTTTGGAAGATAGATGTGCTCAAATTACAACCCAAAGTAGTAAATAACACTCCTTAAAAGCCAAACTTGTTAAGAGTTTGTTTACAAATTCCTGGTTAAAGAAGCAGCTACAAAGTCGTTACTGTACACAGCAAGAACCAGCTTGCTAGATAGTCTTTCACTGAAATCTACTGGGCGTCTGAAAAACAACATTAGTGAACTTTTGGGTGAAAAAAAAAATCACTATAAACTCATATGGCTTTAAAACTGTAACCTGTACCCAATACAAACTTGCATGTCAACACTAGGTATGAAGGCTATGGGGATAAGAAAGTGCACAAGGTTAGCCATTCCACTCATTTCAACATAAGGTAATACTTGATTAAAAACAGACATTGTGAATTTAGCACTGTCAGAATTCAAATAGTAAAGCATTAGCTGTACAATAAAAGCAAATTTAGTCAATATTTTAGTAAGAGTAATTGTAACTGGCATTTTAAAGAACTTGAGTTAGAAATTCTAATTTTGCTAGTTAGTAAAGACTAACTTCCAATAAATTGCCTTATGTTTGCTTAAGTCAAACCTAAATTTAGAACTGGAATAACAATGAATATATAAATATACATATTTTGTATTACATTCTGTGGAAGAATAGTTTCTCTGCTGTGTTTAGTATAGCAAGATACTTTAGTGTCTAGTAATAGGGGTTTTATCTTTTGTAAAGCTTAACAAAATAATTAGTGGTTTATATAAATTATCAAATATAACACAAACTATCACTTTTATGAAAAATGACATTGGTATTTATCATAAATTTCCACTTGTAAGTTATGAGCCTTTGTCTAAAACATTGTATTTCTTTTGTCAAACAGAATTGCTATAAAGTTACTATTCAGTATGAGCAGTTCACATTAAGAAACACTTAACCCAATCCTTTACTTCAAATAATCTTACCATATGGAATTTGGTCATTTTCTAATCATTAAAGTGAACACAAGTGACAGTACTTCTCTCATTGCCAATATCAATCTTTTGAAAAAACAGTCAAGGGAAATGCTAAATTAACTGTTAAAGTACCAGTTACCAGTTTATCACCACAGTTTCAGCACTTGTTCACTTCACTTACTTATGAGGTCAATGCTGAATATCTGAAGATAATTTTATTCCCAGTAAACATACTCCATTAGGCTTATTTGTTTTTCTAGTGGCCACAGTGTATCATTAAAGACATGAGCCAGGATTTTTAAGTATAAATTATCTTTTGGTTATTTTGAATTTTCTTTCCAATTACAGCCCAAAAGTATTTTAAAAATTGCAAATATCTTTTAAATATGCTTGGCCACTGTATGATTCTGAATACAAGATCCAGCGTGAGAAGAAGGTGAGGCACATGAATTAACACAGACTAGAGGCACATTTCTGGTTTTGTTATTGTTTTAAAAGGCACACATTATGTAATCCATATAAAAATAAATTAAATCTACAGCATTAATTCATCAACAATCACAACTTCTATAAAGTTAATCAACTGCAGAAGAAGTTTTTCTGCTGTCTTTTGCAAGCTTATTTTAAAACACATTGCACTTGAGAATTTTAAAAAATCATATAAAACACCATTTACACTTTATTAATATGCTTATGAGAATCAGATTATAGGGTTTTTATGCATACAAGTTGAACTCTGGTGTGATTACCTTATGGCACATAACTCAATTAGATTGAGCTCTGAGTTAACATTCATGTTCTGTTTATATTCATTCAATATCAAACTTATGGAACTTCAAAGCTATCTCTGAGTCTAAATACATATGGAAAGCTAAATAATTTTGTGCTTGCTCTCCTGAAATTTTAGGTTTGTTACTACATTCTAACCTTTTTAAAAATACAGATATTGAAGATAATAAACTTCATTTTAGTGACAATTTGAACACATGTGCTTCCTGAATATTGCATTTGATCATTATTGTGTACAAGGTCATTTCAGTGCTATTTCTTTCAATGACTCACTTTGAAAGTGCAATTTAATGTTTGTAGTCAGCTTTCAAAGACAAAGTTTGAAAGTCATCATACAAGTAAAGATAGTGTTTGGAAAGAACAGGTGATGCAGTAGCAGGTTCGCACTGTTCCCTTGAGAAAACCGCTTTCTGGGTCTATCAACAATCCGCCAAGTATCGTCCTGAAAAACACCAAGCAGACCTTTGCTGTTACAGTTTTAAACACACTAAATGACCACATTGTTCTTTGTGGTTACAGACACGGAACTCTAGTTCCCACCTGCTGTTTACAATGCATTAGAACCACATTACATCGTCCACTATGCCAATCATGGTAACTCTACCAAGACTGTATTTTGTACCAAGGGGGAAAAAAAAATCCATGTTTTTAAATTATAAACTGCTAGAGAACAAGTGTTTCCCACATACACTACAGAATTCAAAATATCCCAACTTACCAGTGGCAAAACGCTTCTTTACTAAAGAAAGTCTATAGCCAGTGCCAACAAGCTCAATATCTACTCCTGAGAGGGTATTTCCCTCACTAAGAAATTGCACGGCAAGCGTTGTGGGCTTGCTAGGTCCTTCTGAAAGATCAAATTTTGCTCTGAGAGATCCAGAACCTGCAAAGAAAAGAATCAAAACCTTATAAAAGGTAAACTACATTGCAAACCAAACAAAATTAAATGAGCACCTAAGCCAGTGCTTTTCAACCTTTCTAATGCTATGAGTCTTTAAAACAGCTCCTCATGTTGTGCTGATGCCCAAATATAAAATTATTTTCACTGCTACTTCATAACTATAATTTTGCTACTTGCCACAAATTGTAATGTAAATAAATATCTGGTATGCAAGATATCTGATAATTGACCCCTGGGAAAGGGCCATTGCAGCCCATAAGCTGAAAATTGCTGATCTAACCAAAACTACCTCAGCCAATGATAAATTCATGAGATGTGCAAAGCAAACAAACCATTATCCCGTTTTCAAATTAAACCGTATTCACTGAACATAAACTTCCACAAAGTAATTCCAATCACTATTTTCTCTTAATTAACAGTAATGTTCAGAAATGTGTACTGGTTAGATAGATGCCTATGATATGCATGTGTTAAAATGACTTAACAAGGATGAGATAAGGAATGAGGGCAGCACACAGGGAACACAGGGGCATGACACAGGGATGGGGGATGGGGGGGCGACAAGACAAACTAAAGAGAAGTGAGTGCTGAATATCAGATCATGCAGTCCAACAAGGTAAGAGGAAAAGTCAGCTATTACTATTGGAAGGAGGGTATCAATCTCGCTATTTTTTTACTCGTCTTATTAGCATCATACTCTAAACAACTGAGCTAACTGGCCAGCTACATCACCCTTATTTTTCAAATTTTACTAGCACAACATCACATCACCCCATAGATATTTTGTAAATCTTCTCTTTCAGCTGTAACCATTTATTCACATGTCCCCATCTGACTGCAGCAGAAGGAGGGCATCAGTGACACTGATCTGATCAATACTCTGAACACATGCATTTCTGCTGAAAGTTCTAACACTGCTGGGCATGATGGTGTACCTTTTAGGCAGGTACTGGGATGTAGACAGAGGACCTGTGAGAGCAGGCTTAAGAGAATCAAATCCACAGTATCTGGAGACACAAAGGAAGGACAGCAACAGAGGAAACTAGAATAGTAGCAAGGCCCAGGCCCCAGTATAAGAAGTTTATGACATAACCACAAGAAAACACCCAAGATAAGACAGGCAAGAATATCTCAGATTAGTGTCCTAGAAGAGAAGGGAGGGGTAAGATGCAAAGTAAGGAGACCAATGGCAAGACAATAAAAGTTTATTAGGGCTATAGGTCACGGGAAAAGGGGATCAGTAGGAGAGCCAAGGCATAAGCAAAGAACACAATATTTAAAAGGAAAGAAATGAGAAGAGTCCAGGAGGATTTCTAACCTTATTTAACTTGGGTTTCTGGTTAGGGCAGGGGTTTTCAACCTGTGAGTCGAGACCCTTTTGGGGGTTAATGACCCTTTCACAGGATCACATACCAGGTATCTTGCATATCAGCAAGCATATAGCAAAATTATAGTTATGAAGTAGCAACAAAAATAATGTTATGGTTGGGGGCTACCACTACATGAGGAACTATTAAAGGAAAGGTGAAAACCATTGTGCCAGGGGAAGTAGACAGCCTTGCTCAATAGCACCAAGAAGACATTTTAAACCCCTGTATATACAAAGTTTAACACTACAGAGAAATATTGAACAAGATGTAGTAACTGGTCTGTCCTATGCTATCATACCAGAGTGGAAAACTTTTGCCTAACTCTTGACTACTGGTCCACATAGTTCTGAAAGGTTGTCCACTCTTGCTCAACTCCTCAGCTCTATGAAAGCTCCACTACTAGCACCAACGAGGAACAGTCACCCAGCAGCCCTTAAGTTTTACAACTATTGCCTGTTCCTTTTCTGGTATTGAATTAGAATAGAAAGCATGTTTCTCTTTTACAGTATTTGAATCTGGTTTGACTGACCACATCAAAACCACATTCATAAAATTCTCCCATTTCCTCACAGAGAGCAGACATTTTCATACCTGAATAACAGAAGGAAAGTACTAACTATGTGATACAAAATGTGAATCTTGTTTTTGAGAGAATAAATTCCTTTTCTGTTATATTTACAATTATCATATGTTTTATTAAATAGGGAACAAGATATTCTCTCTTCCTTGCGAGCTGGCTGTAAGCCTAATACATAGAATGTCTGATTTACTTCCAGTTTTAAGTTAGAAATTTCAGTGTGGTTCACAAACCGTCAGTGAAGTTAGTTACCAACTAAAAATACTAACTCTGAGTACTAAAACAACGATAAAGAACTAGAAGCCTCAGGTATGGCTCTCTAGGACAAATCTGCTCCCGCACAGCAGATATATAAGAACAGACAATCTAGATTTGCTGACAGTCCTTTATATATAGAAATAAAGGAGGAAAAAAAACCATTGATAAGCTCAAAATGTTCAAAAAGCTGAACAAAATTAGAAGAGCTCAATGAGAAAAATTAATGCGGGCTAGCTAGGAAGACGAGCTCTCTTTTAACTAAGAAAGACAATGGGTATCTCATGTTAGGGACTTAACTGGGGATTTACAGACACTAAATCAGAGGAGACAGTGGAGTGATAACTAGCCATATGGTGAACATAGACAGACTCAGTCAGTAGGAGGAGACAATTAACTTGTCTCTCTTTAAAACTGCCACACAGAACTGAAGATCTCTGGCTTACTCTGATAGGAAGGAACAGAAAGGTTCTCTCAGCTAGACTACTCGAGTAGACATATGCTGGTATAGACCAACACAGCTGGTCTCTATGCATCTGGGGAGGGAAAGCAGGGCACCTGCTCTACAGAAAGCATCTCTTCTCCCTATGAACAGAATAAGCTCAATCATGTGCAATTATCTAAGTTACCTACCGAGGGATAGTTCTATTTTTTAATAAATTCTACCGCTAGGTATTTCTCTTATGCAAACACCAAAAACACTTATCCTGCAGTTATAAAATTATAACAGTTAATTTTCCCTCAAAGAAAACATATTTAAGGAAAGGGAAAAAAGGGTTCTGAATCTCAGCTTGTACATTCTTACATACGGGATTAACTTCCACCTAGTGGTCAGTCCTAGAACTGAAGCCATGAAATTTCAGAAGGAAACTTTCAATGTATATGCTTTAAAAAGAAACAAAAAATAACCAAGATGGCTAGCAAGTAAAGGTTCTTGCCACCATGCCTCAAATCCGAGTCTCATCCTCAGAGTGTGGAAGGAAAAGAACTGATTGATAAAGCTGTCCTCTGACCATACCTGTGTGCACTCACACACATAACTGGTAAAGGTAGTAACAGTAATCTCAATAATAGAAAACAACAAAGGCCAGGGGAAGCAGAATAGCACAATACAGAGAATGAGAAGGAGCACACCCTTACCTCCACTGTCTGATTTCTCCGAAATCCCAGATAATTTCCAAAAGGCTTTCATTTGTTCTGCATTCCTGTAATAAGGACAAGTATCTTTAAATTCAGTCTCTTACAATATCTAATACATAAATGGACACTCAATAAATGCACCTCAAGTATTTTTATTCTAAAAAACTACAGTGTGGGCTTTAAATGGCATTACCTAGTGAAAATATATCATATACATAAATGTAATGCTATAGTTTTCTCAAGGAATGAAAGTGTATCAAATTATAAGATTCCCTTCATTTCCAGTGGTCAGAGGAAAGAAGCCTGTGTATATGTGGCTCAGTATCTTAGTCAAAATAAACACTGTATTTAATGATAATTATAAACAGTTGTCTAATAGAAGTAGGAGGGGTACAAGAGGTGGTTAGCAATGGTAGTAACTAGTACTATTGAACACTAAGCAGATATTCCTATGGAAAGGCTAAGTACTACATTTAACCCTATTAAATAATAATTGTTTTTTAAAGTATACTATGTATAGAAATGTGCTTGCCACTGGCACATGTAGGAATCAGAAGAGCTCCTTTACATGTGTTCACAGAAACCTTTTAACTAAGGTCGTCAGATTTGCAAGGGCAAGCACTTAACCCAATTATTGTTAGCTTTAAGAGGTTAGAGCTGTTGCAGCTGGAGACAAACAGAAATACAACTAGACTGCAAAAACAGTTTACCATATTGCAGGGGGAAGGGACTGCATATGTGTGACTCCTCCATCCACTGGTACCACCACCTGTATGTTGGAAAGCACACTCGGTGCAACCATAGCTTCTGGGTTATACTTATAATCCACTCTCAAATCAGTGGTGCTGGCACTACATTTCCAGTACGTTGCAAGATTTAGAGGAGTGGACTGAATGCCATTTGATGATACCTTTAAAGAGAATCAAACAAGTAACTGTCTTTGCCTGAAGAATAAACAAGGCATGTTCATGACACAAACACTTGTGCCTAAGAATCTGCAGAATCACAACTAAGCAGCAAGAACAGTGCCTGTTGCTAGGTAGAAAAAAGCACTAGGGTCACTCTTGTGCATGGACCTGGGACAGCCTACCTGCAAACTGCCATGGTGCAGTTCTCTGGGATCCAACTGCAGAAAATCTTACTTTATAGATTAGGCACTGAGTTCAGAAATCAGCATTCAATTAGGCAATTTTTAAAAATTTATTTGTATGAAGTCTAGAGCCTTTCAAAGGAGGACTCTAAGATTCCCCATTAGTTATAAATGAATTTTAAGAATTTGGATATACATCTGTAAGAAAAGAAGGTTCACCATGTGATTCCCAAAACCTAAAACACACTTCTAACTTCAAACATTTATTCACTTTAAACATAGTGAATGGCACAGTTCCCGACTCTTCAGCTCCTTTTTTAAAGGGCTCCTTGAAGCCATTTCCTTTCGTCCATAGCATTTACTTTCTAACAATACTATTTATTGATCATGTTGACCATTCCCAGGAATTAGCAAGCACTGATTATAAATGTCTTTTTTTTAGAAACACAAGCTATCTTTAATATTATTACACTACTAAAAATTCAAACATAAATGTAAAATACAGAATTTATCTCCAGCATGTGCATGCATGCATAAGCGTTGCTGAGGATTAAGCTCCAGGCTTAACACATATAGGATTAAGTGCTCTAACTACTGAGCTGTAACCAAGCCCACCCCTTGGTGTTATTACTCCCACTATTAACAACATGTTAAACATCCTCCCCGACTTGAGGAACATGAAACATGGTTTTTATAACATACTGGTGAAGTAGTGTATTCCTCTGCTGCTGTATACTCAGGGACCCTGGAAATAACACTGCAGTAAATGTATTTTTGTACCTTTTCTTTGCCTGTCATGAAACTTCTGAGTTATTATTTTATAAAGAACTTTAAATTAAACAAATTAACTTACTACAACTTCCTTCTAAAAGGTTCTATTAATTTACATTCAGGAATAAGTGGTCACAACCCTTTCAATACTGGATGGAGCAACCATTACTGCCTTAACCACTGCATCCAAGATTTATCCACTTCGTAATGGATAAATAAAGGTTCTTGGAGTAATCCCTTTAGTCTGTCTAATGCATCCCAGCACTTTATATACATACTCATCTGTTTCTGTGTCAGTTATCTCTTCTGACACACCTCCTAAGTTTTAAATCTATTATTTTATGTGTGTGTGCATATGCATATGTATATATGCTCACGCGTGTAGGTATATGAAGGTTAGAGTTGTGCTGTGGAGTCAGTTCTCCCATTCCACATTTATGTGAATTTAGAGATTGAACTTGGATCAAATTCAGGTTATGAGGATTGCACAAAAAACACTTTTAATCACAGAGCCACCCCATCAGCCCCTCTTCCAGGTTTTAAACATACTTAGAAATGGCTTTCATAGCTCAACAGGAAAATGATATACTAAGTATATGTTATGTATACATACATCTTTGTACATAATTTATTTTAGCCACTTTATGGTTTTATTTATTATTGAGTATTTGATACATGTAGACTTAGAGTTTTATATTAAAATTTTTTTTTTTTCAAGGCAAAGTTTTTCTGTGTAGCCTTAGCTGTCCTGGAACTTGCTCTGTAGACCAGACTGGCTTTGAACTCAAGAGATCTGCCTATCTCTGCCTCCTGAGTGCTGAAATGAAAAGCATGTGCCACCACTTCCTGTCTATTACTTCTTATTTTATTCTCTTATGTAAAGTACTAACAAATCCAGAGAAATACTTAAATTCTGTGCTATTAATATAAACAGTGAGTGTCTGCCATATCAAACTTTAACTGACTGATTTGGCATTTCTTTATGAACAATGGCTATATCAAAGTTTTCTGGTTAAATATAAATTCATGTATTAATATTTACTCAGTGGTTGAGCAAAAATCAGATGGTAAACACTTTATCATTTTGGCTGAAATAAGTCATGAACTTACTGAAAGAGTTTCAAATTCCAAAATAATCTTGCATTCTTGGGATGGACCTCATTTGGCTACATATTTACTCATTTAGTGTTCTGTCAAATTCCACTTGTTTATCTGTAAATTTAAGGTTTTCACAGTGATAGGACACTCACCTGATACTTTAATACATCTACATTATAGTAAGAAGCAGCTGGATTTTGCTCTGACAGCTTCTTGAGGTAGACAGTAACAGCTTGCATGTTCATCCAAAAATCTTTTGTGTTGGAATCACACTGTGATGGATCACTATATGTATAAGAAACAATTTTGTTATTTCATTTGTCTTATCTTTTTCCTTCCTTTATTTAGTCAGTTGGTGACCTGGGAAAGACTATTAGAAGTCAGTCAAAATGTGGGATGAGGGAAAACTAAGATTAGAAGCTGAAGAATGGAACAGTGAAAAGGTTCCCTGAAAAGTAACTAGCACTAGCATCAAAACAAAGCAAAAGGATGGCACAAAGCTGCTTAACTGCAATAAATAATTTTGGCATTGTCTTCAATCAACATTATTTCATAAAGAAAAAATATTTCTTAAAAAGAAACTTCAATCTTAATCTTAAAAGCAAAGCACAACACAAACCTGAACACAAGCTGTGAATTTGGAAGAATTTGCTCGAGTCTGCTGATGTTTTTCACTCTAAAGCACAGCACAGCCGGAGAGGGGTTGCTTGTGAAGACTTTAATAATTCCACTTGGAAATGATATTGTCACATCTCCAGTGATCTTCACAATACACCTGATATTGGAGGACATAGACAAGTGCTTAAATAATGTCTTCTCAAAAGTATGCTTGGTTTTAAAAAGTGTATGTATGTATGTATGTATACATATACATACAGCTGTGCATCTGTTCATACAGACATGTATTTATATCCTTTCTTATGATTATAGACTAAACATAGAAAACTGTAATGGCGTACTCCTGCTATTACACATAAGCACAGCTCTTTGTGTGTGGTAGCCATCCTTCAAAGACCTGTATGGGCACTGCTTCCCTAGTAACAGCATCAGTAACCAGTTACAGCTACTTCTCCTCTTAAAGACCTCTGAACCCCTGGGATTGGTAATGGCTGCTCTTCTTTTCATTGCTTCTTCCTCTGAAACTTGATTCACACTGTATCGCTCAGACTCTATCCTTTTCAGATCATCTCCAGTGGTCCCTTTTCTTTTCCTGAATTCCTGACTCACCACTAATCTTATCTCTGCACCACTATTTCTAGCAAATTTTTATTAAGTTTAATATCCACCCAGATGGTCTTTTTACACCTTGGTCATCTAGTTCTTCAACATGTCTCTTCCAGGGGCTCTGTTCTTTAGCTGTCCTCAGCCACGGTCTGCGCAATCAGCACTTATTGACTCAGACTCCCATTTTTCTGAGTCATTCCATCTAGCTGCACTACTTAATTCCTCACCATGCTACCTCACTTCCTAACTGCATATCCTTATATCCCTTATCTTTGATTTCCCAGGTTCCTCATTAGACATGTTCCTTTGCCTAAGTCCTCCTTTATGTTTTTGCTAACCGATCAGCTGAACAAGAAGACTTGACTAAATGTAGTTCCCTCCCACAAACGTATAGCTGAATGTGACTAGAGAAAACCAAACCACATGGCCAAGCCTCCCATCTGCCCCCTTAGCATGCCCTGGCTGGCCTTTCTATCTTATCTAGTCACTCACTCCTCTGTCTTCTCATAGCTTCTGTTTCTCCTCTTACAGCATATTTCTTCACCCTACACCTAGGTGATTATGTTATTTTTAATGAAGAAGTAAAATCAGAAAAGAATTTTCTTTCTTCACTACTGAACTCATAATCTGCCAAACCTATATCTATCACGCACCATTCCTGTTTCAATGGAAGACTTGTTCATATGGGCAGGTTGGCGTGTGGAGGCCAGAGGTTATTATCAGATTTCTTCCTTGATTGCTCACCACCTGATTTTTTTCAAGGCCTTTCTCACTAAATCTGGAGCTCATGTATGCTGCCATACATGGTCTTTCACTTTAATGTAGTATTTTTACTACTCTTTTGAGAATCTCATAGACATATACAATGTATTTGATTATATTCTCACCCTTTACTCTTCCTCCTAATTCTTGTCAGATCCACTACTCCCTCCCAACTTCCACACCCAGCTTCTATGTGGATGTTGGAGATCTAAATTTCAGGTTCTCTGTCCTCATGCTTGTGATGCAGGCACTTTATCAAGTTAAGTCATCTCCCTGGTCCCTAGCATTTAAAAAAAAGACGAAGAAGAAGAGGAGGAGGAGGAGGGAGGAGGAGGAGGAGGAGAAGGAGAAAGAAGAAGATGAAGAAGAAGAAGAAGAAGAAGAAGAAGAAGAAGAAGAAGAAGAAGAAGAAGAAGAAAAAAAAAAAGAAAAAAAAAAAGAAAAAAAATTGAGACAGGCTCTCTCAAAGGTGAAGATGGCCTTGAACTCACTAAGTAACCGAGGATGGCCCTTAACTCTTGATCCTTTTGCCTCCCCTTTCCAAGCGAAATTACAGGTGTGGGCTACCAAATGCAGCTCTATCATCTTTAAGTCAACGTATTAAAACTAAAATTCCTTTGTCCTTGCCACTATTCCATTTCTCAGCTTCCCCTCAGTTTACCTATATTTGTTTTCTCCAAACAGTTGCCTAAGTGTGCACAATCTGCTCCTACACTCCAGCAGCCTTAGATCTTTACCATGTCACTACAATTACATGGTTGAAGGTCACTAGTGAATTTTATACTGTCAATAGCAGCATAAGGAATTGTTCATACCTCCCTCTATGGAATGACTTTTAGTTTCTAGACACTGCTCAACTGATTCTGTCCTTTTCTTGCTGCTTCTGATCTCCATCCAGTTCCTATGCTTGGTCATTCTGGTCTTCATATTTTCAACACAGAATCAGGACTTGGTTCTCTGATCTTTTCTTCTGTCTACTTCTTAAAACCCCAACTTCATATATAACATACAAATCAAGGACACCAAATATTTTATCTCAAGTCTACACTTACTCAGTGAGCTCCAGAATCATGTACACAGCTACCAACTTGTCTACATTAACAACACTTAACAAGTACCTCAAATTTGGCATTCTGTCCTCTCAACAAATCTTGATAACTGCTTTCAAATATATTTAGAATATCACCAATACTTAACCACTTTCCCTGCTAATAATATACTTATTCAAGTCACCATCATCTCTTATCTGGCTTTATTCAGCTAATATCTCCCTCTCCCCCTCCCCCGTTTCCAAAGAGCAGTCAGAATACTACAAAAACACAAATAACCTCATTACCTCTCAACTCATGTGATCCACTTGGCTTATCTTATTAAAAATGAATTCCCAATTTATCACGGTCTACAGTGCCCAATCTGATCTGGTACCTCTTTGGATGCATCCTCAACCACACTCCTATTTTATCCTATTCAGAGACATGTTTCACTCCGTTCCCCCAAATACATCAAGCATGCCTTTACCCTGGATTCTACCACAGTGCCCTTGTCCCGGGGTGTTATTCTCCTAGATATGTCAATGGTTTGCTCCACCATACTTTTCAAGTATCTGCTTGAACCCTCCAAAAATCTTTTTCCCCTACTGTAATTACACCTTACACCTCGCTTTCCAAAAACATGTATGAGTACACAACTATTTGTTCCTCTGATGTTTTCTTTACTATAATGCATGGTCAGGAGACCTCTGTTTTCTGAAGTAGCCTTAGTATTTATTCAGAGTCTTGCTGGGCATGATGCTGTATACCTTTAATCCCAGCACTTTGGAGGCAGAAGCAGGTGGATTTCTGTTAAGTTTCAGGCCAGCCATGGATACATAGGGACCCTGTTTTAAAAATAACCAAAAAGAGTCTTACACATAGTAAGTACTTAGTGAATGAATATATGCTGAATATTATTTAAGGAGCTTGGTGGGTAAGAATGCTTGCTGTTCTTAAAGTGGACCCAACTTCAGCTCTTAGCATCCATACCAGGAAAGTCACTCCAGATCCAGGAGCTCTAATACCTTCTTCCAGCCTTGTGGGTAACAGGCATGTATATGGCCTATTTACAAGCATGCAGAGAACATACATACACATTAAACAAAAATAAAACCTTAAAGCAGATATAACTTTTCTCAAAAGATGCTAAACCAATTCTACAAGGACCCAACACCTCGTCTACATCTCTTTAGAATAGTGCTCACCCCCAAACACAAGTGCATACTTATAATTTAAAACTAACTTGGTAGGATCTGCTCCTTTAAAGTAGGCATTGACGGATTCTGTAAGGGCGATTGCCACAGGTAAGGTGTCCTGGTTTCCAAGACTGACTGGGCTGGGACCCCGTGACACACCTAGAATAGACATAATTAATTTGTTAAATCATTCTAGACATACACCAAATACTAAGATTCATACCATAAATACCAAGACAGATTGATGTTAGGTTGTCACAAAAGACCTTATTACTGGTTTCATTGATGCCGCAAATATAAACCTAGAGGTTAAGAAAGACATCATAAAACAAATTAGAACATGATGTGAATCACACTCACACACACACACACACACACACACACACAGAGAAAGGGGGAAGGGTCTGGAACAAACTTACTTTTAAATGGAAAGAGATATACAGGATGGTTAAGGAATGTCAAAAAGTAAAAGTCATTGAAACAATGAGTTAAAATAACTACTGTGACCTCCAAAACCCTTCAGATATAAATATTTTTAAGGTTTATTAGTCACAGGCTATTCACTTCAAAGAATTGTATTTGAATTTTGTCTGTTACGTTTCTCAAATAATAATAGTTCATATACTACTTATTACTATAATTCTCTAAATTCCTCTTTGATGCTTGTATAACCTTAGTTATGTAACAGTTGGGGCTAAATATTTTTCAGGTTTTGAACTATTTCATTAGAGTATTTGCATCTTTATCCACCCCCTTATCCCTAATATAGACGCCCCAATTCTAAAATGTTCCAAAAATCAAACTTTGAGAATTATTACCAAAGTTCTGGATTTTCAGATTTTGAATTTCTAGATTGTAGGTGTTCATCTTGTATTTCAGTGATGTTGGGACTAATTGAGTCCTGGCCTTCAGCTGTTCTTCCCTGTCAGGGAAGTTCTAATGGAACTTCTAATGGAAGTTACTAAAAGCTGTGCTTTGCCTAGAGGATCAGAGGATGGAATTTTCACCTGTTGGCCATTGACTGCAGGGAAGAGCAGCTGAAGGCCAGAAACCCAATTGGTTCCAACATCTCACCCCTAAATTTTTTATAAAACAGAAACCCAATTGGTCCCAACACAGTCCCATATTACTTTGCCAGAATAAATGTTTGACCAACATAATCATTTTAAAAATTGATTTAATTTTCATTCAGACAAAACACCTTCTTAACTGTATCACATTGGAATTTTAAGCTGGCAGCACATGCCTTTTTAATTCCAGCACTCAAGAGGCCAGCCTGGTCTACAGAGTAAGTTCTAGACAGTCTCCAAAGCTACACATAGAAACCCTGCCTTGAAAAATCAAAATAAGTAAATAAATAAATAAATAATAAATAGGCAAATACAGTTTGGGATTTTAAAAGCACAATAAAATTCTGAGCAAATTTGTGAACTAAATCTAAATGTTAAGCTACCTTTAACTAGTTTATTATCACTGGCCCAAACACCTGGCACACCTCAAAACGAACAGTTAATTTACACTGGCTCACGGCTAAGTCACAGGACTTAGTCCCTAGTGGTTGTCCTCATATACTTCTGCAGAGTATCATGGTGACAAAAGCATACGCTGGAGGATGACAGGAAGCAAGGAAAGAGAAAGGTATAGGGGAGCAGACATAACCTACCAAGGTTATGACTTTCTTATTTATGTAGGTCCTAGCCACTTTACACAAACATGCAAAATCTTCCAAAACACTGTCACCAGTTTGGGAGCGAGCAGCAGGGCACATCTCATATGTCTTTTTAATCTACACAAACCACCTCCCCAATGAGACAGAACACTGCCTTTGCTTTTCTGCACAGATGCGCTCTTACAGCATATGCTTGACCACTACTGCAATGACTTCCCTAAGTTAGGCACTCATTTAACCATGGTGCCTGACACCTTGGGACCAAACCTAATCTTACAAACAACGACAACAGATATTTCATAACCTTAAGAGGCCAGGAAGATCTGTTGCTTTAGAACATTCTTTAGTTATGAAAAGAACTTTAGTGCTGAAAACTACATGGAGACCAAAACTACTGATTTTGACCTTCAGGAAAAGTAAATTCTCCAAAATGAACAATAAATAATTCTATGTGAAAATAAGAATTCAGTAATTCAAAATAATTCAAAATTCATTCACAAAATAACAACAGTCACTACAGGTTAAATAAATTATATCTGAAATTCCTGAGACCAGAGAAGTTTCCATTTTTAGCTTTTTCCAATTTGAGAATATTTATGTAAGCTCTGCCAGCTGACCATAAGTAATCTTAAAACTTTTGCTATCTAAAAGGCTCTGAAATCTGAAACTTTGTTGAAAATCTTCAGATTTCAGAGCATTTGAATCAAGGATTTTTCAAGTAACAGGTGACAAGCACTTTGCTAAGGAGGCAGAAAAATAAAGAGATGGCTTTTTAAATAACAAGTACTAGTTTTGCAGAACAGACAGGTATGGTCTAGGGATAGATGGATGGATAAGATGAGGAGAGTGCTTTCATGATCAGAACACATAAACCCTTCTACATTTACTCTCCTATTTACAATAGCTAGGAATTGCAAACAGCCTGGGTACTATCAAGAGGAGAGGAGAAAAAGAAATGTGGTAGTACGAACAGTGGAATTTTAAACAATCATAAAGAAACGTAAGTGACATTTACAGAGTATGGGTACTAATGGAACTATGCTAAAAACAATAAGCAAGACTCAAAGACAAATACATGTTCTCTTTCATATATAACATCTATATTTAAATGTGTGTGTGTGTGTGTGTGTGTGTGTGTGTGATGTATGCATGTTTGTTTGTAGGTCATGAAACTAAAATGGAGACAAAGAGAGCTTAAGGGATAGAAGGGGGACAGAGGATGATAACAGAAAGGGAGCTACCAGAGAAGAAACAAAGGAATATGTAAGAGAGAGGCAGGGAGAACAGCACTGGAGGGGAACAAAATATACAAAATTGGCACAAGGAAATTTTTATGTTAACTTAAAAATTAATTTAAAGCTGGACAGTGGTGATGTACACCTTTAACCCAAGCACCTGGGAGACAGATGCTGGCAGATTTCTGTAAGTTTGAGGCCAGTCTGGTCTACAAGAGCTAGTTCCAGGACAGTTAAGACTGTTACACAGAGAAAGAGAAAGCCTATCTCGAAACCACCCCCCAAAATAATAATAATAATAAAAAATTTAAGAACATACCACTGTCAAAATTTAAGAGAAACAATCTTATGATTACTCTAAGTATCAAAAGATCCCGAATGAAAAGGAGTATTTGACAGAGGTTTAAATCTTTATTAAAAATGATCAGGTAAAAGATTAATTTTAATTAATTAATTAAGGGATTAATCAACAGGCATGAGTTTGAGCATGCAAGAGAGAAAATGTTAAGAAAAAATGCTAAGTATGAATTCACTGATTCCAACTATAAATACATGTTCATAGGCAGAAAATGTCTATAAAACCTAAGTTTGAACCCATCAACTCTTTCTAATGTTCTAAGTAGAAGGTCATCAGAATTTAAGGACATCACATTTTTAGGCAAAGATGAAAACTCCTTTTTGCTTCTATTTTTTTTAAGCTGTGGCAAAATATATAACAAAATTTATGGTCTTACTTCTACCTCTATTTTCTTATCTTTTATTTTTTAAGGCAGGGTCTCACTGTTCTTACCAATTTTTAGGTGCACAGTTAAAAGTACAAAGAAAACAAGAAATACTGTACAACTATTTCTACCATTCATTCCCATAACTAAAAACTGAAACTCTATACCCATTTACAATTACCCTACATACATACCTATACCCTCACTTTACCTAGCCTCTGGCAACCACCACTGGTATTTTCTGTTTCCATGAGCCTGACTCTATCTCATAGAAGTAATACATATCTAAACCACTGAATTTATACCAAATGACACAGAATTGACATTACTATTTCTTCAATTACAAGAAATAATCAGGAATAGGAATCACCCCATATACATAACACACATTCAATCCTATATGGGTCTGCCAGGTCCTCGAACATAAGATAATGAAGAAATTGATCAACTATTAATTGGAAATATGTTGGAGGCATCAGAATTTGAAGAAAAAAAAAAGGTGTGTCAATAGCAAAGGTTTTTTGTGTTTTTTTTTTAAAAAGGACTTTTCCATCACATGGCAACAAGCCAAGGAAATTACAAAGAAATATCCTACTTGTTCTTTATACAAACACCACTACCTAAAGGAAGTAACCCAAAGTGCTGAGGGACAATGGTCTTTTATCCTGTCACTTGTATTATTTTTAATAAGATGCTGATTGGCCAGTAGCCAGGCAGGAAGTAGAGGTATGGCAATGAGAATTATGGGAAGAGGAAAGTTTCAGTCTGTAGTTGTCACCCAGATGCAGAGGAAACCAGACATAGAGCAAGCAAGATGTGACTGCCACGCCGAAACGGGTACCAAGCCACATTGCTAACACAGACAAGTATTATGGGCTAATATAAGTTATAAGAGTTAATAATAAGCCTGAGCTAATAGGTCAATCAGTTTATAATTAATGTAGGCCTCCTTTTATTTCTTTGGAACTGGACATCTGGAGGACCAGGTGGGACAGAAACCTCGGTCAACACCAAAGGGTACTCAAAAGGAATGAAGCCTGGCAGATGGGTGTGTTCCATTTTGTAGAATTTGGAAAACTAAAATATGAACACCACACCATTGATACCTATTCAGGTTTTCAATAGGCAACTGCCAGAACCTGGAAGCAACCTAAATGCCCCTTAACTTAAGAATGGATAAGGAAAATGTGGTACATTTACACAATGAGTACTAAACAGCAGAAAAAAATAATGATATCTTGAATTTTGCAAGCAAATGGATGGAGCTAGAAAACATTATTTTGAGTGAGGTAACCCAGACACAGAAAGACATTATCACATGTACTCACTCATAGGTGGTTTTTAAACATAAAGCAAAGAAAACCAGCCTACAAACCACAATCCCAGAGAACTTAGACAACAATGAGGACACTAAGAGAGACTTACATAGATCTAATCTACATGGGAAGTAAAAAGTAGAAAAAGACATGATCTACTGAGTAAATTGGGAGCACGGGGCAGAGTTGAAGAGGGTAAGGGAGAAGCAGGGAGAGG